GGGTACAAGTAATTCTTGTGCCTTTTCCTTCCAAGAAACTGGGACTACGGGCATTTGGGCGGGACTGCAGTGGCAACCTTGCCTGGCTAATTTTTGTATTTTTAGTATTTTGCGTTTTCGCCATATTGGCCAGGCTGGTCTCTAATTCCTGACCTCAAGCAATTTGCTTGCCTAGGCCACCTAAAGTGCTGGGATTACAGGTGTGAACCACTGGGCCCAGCTTTTTTTTTTTTTTTTTTTTAAATAAATAAAACATAAATTACTGTCGCTTACTCTAGAATTTTACATTTAAGTGACCATAAATGTCCCTGGCATCTTTTACTCACCATAATGTTTTTTGAAATTCATCTAGGTTGTTGTACATAACAGAATTTCATTTCTCTTTATTGCTGTGTAGTTAAGTAGTCTGTTTTATGAATATACGTGGTTTCTTTCACTTGTCAACAGACGTACTGTTATGAATAAAGTAGAACATTATGGTAGAGGCCTTTTGTGGACTTATTTCTCTTGAGTAAATACCTAGGATTGGAGTCACTGGATAATAGGATAGGTGTAACTTTATAAGAAACAGCTAGAGCTTTATGTGCTGTTTTACCTGCTTTCCATCAACATATGGGAGTTTGTGTTGCTCTACATTATCACGAGCAATCAGTTGTTTGCAGTATTGTACATTTTAGTCATCTTAATGAGTATGTGGTTTGTGCTTTTATATTTCTCATTTTGGTTATAATTTGTATTTCTTTGATGAATATTAATACTGACCACTTTGAATTTTCATGTGCTTATTAGCCATTTGTTTATCTTCCTTTCTGAAATGTCTTTTCAAATTCTTTATCCATTTTAAAAATTGGATTTTGTTTTTACTGAGTTGTAGGAGTTCTTGAAGGTTTTTTTGTGTGTATATATTCTGCTTTTAAGCCTTTTCTCATTAGTTTTGCTAGGTTGTGAAGATGTTTTTAATGCATTTTTCTAGAAGCTTTATCAATTTATCATTTAACTTTTATTTAAGTCTGTGATTTATTTTGAGCTACTATTTGTGTATTTATATGGAGGGAAGTAGAGATCAAGTAGTTTGTTTCTTTCTTTCTTTTGTGTATGCATATCCTGTTGTTCTAGATCCTACTTTGGAAAACACTTTTTCCATTGAGTTGCTTTGTCACCTTTATTGAATAGTTGACCTAAGAGCTCTACTTCTGGAATCTGTATTCTGTTTTATTAATCTGTTTGACTGTCCCTATGTCAATACCATTTATTTTTTTTATTTTTTTTTTTTTTTTCTGTTTTATTAATCTGTTTGACTGTCCCTATGTCAATACCATTTATTTTTTTTATTTTTTTTTTTATTTTTGAGATGAAGTCGCACTCTATCACCCAGGCTGCAGTGCTCTATCTTGGCTCACTGCAGCCTCTGCCTCCTGGGTTCAAGTGATTCACCCTCCTTAGCCTCCCAAGTAGCTGAGATTACAGGTACCTACCACCAGCCCGGCCAATTTTTTGTTTTTAGTAGAGATGGGTTTCATCATGTTGGCCAGACTGGTCTTGAACTCTTGACCTCAGGTGATCTGCCTGCCTCGGTTTCCCAAAGTGCTGGGATTACAGACATGAGCCACTGCACCCAGCCCGTATTGTCTTGATTATTGTAGTTTAGGATTTCCCAAACTTGGCACGATTGACATTTTGGGCCACATTGTTGTGAGGCTGTCTTATACATTGTAAAATATTTAATAGTATCTTTGGTTTCTACCTGCTAGATGGTGGTAATGTCTTTCCAGTTGTGACAGCCAAAATTGTTTCCAGATATTGCCAAATGCCTACTGAGGGACAAAATTGGCCCCCGCTGAGAACCACTCAGTGGCTTTTTAGTAAACCTGGCATTAATGTAAATTCTCCATCTTTGCTGTTTTCCCAAGATTTTAGATCTTTTTGTTTCAATTATGAATTTTAGGATAGGCTTGCTAATTACTGTAGAAAGGAATATGATTATGCTGAGACTGTAACTGGGGTTGCGTGGAATTTGCAGGTCACTTTGGAGACATTTTAAGAGTCTTGAAACTTCCAGTTATGGACATGGCACATCTTTCCATTTATTTAGGTCATCTTTAATTTTTCTCAGCAACATTTTGTAGTTTTGGTAGAGGTCTTGTATATCTTCTGTTATATTTATTACTAAGCATTTTATGTTGTATGATGCAAATATAAATGGAATTTTTTTAGTTTTGTTTTCCAGTTGTTTGTTGCTAGTACATAGATAAACAGTAAAATTTTGTATGTTAATTTTTTGTTATAAGGCCTGGCAGACACACTTATTAATCATAATTATTTAATTCTTCTGCATTTTTCTACATTAATAATTATGTTGCACACACATAGGGGTAGTTTTACTTTCTTTCCAATTTTTATACCTTTATTATTGTTTTTGTACTGTCTGAAACCTTCACTAACATGTTGAGTAGAACTGCTGCAAGTGGACACCCTTGCCCTCTTACCAGTGTGAGGTGGGGCATATGTTCAGTGCTTCAACACTTAACTGTAGGTTTTTTAATAGGTGTCCGTAAGACTGGGTAAATTCTTTTCTTAGTTTGCTGAAAGTTTTTTGTTTTTGTTGTAAATGAGTATTCCAGCTGGTAAAATCTTATTTAGCATCTATTGAGATAATCATATGGTTTTTCTTTTTTATTTTCTGAATATGGTAAATTATGCTGATTAAAACAAATTTTGGATGTAAAATACAAGATTTACCATTTTAACAATTTTTAAGTGAAAATTTAGTGGCATTAAATACTTTCACATTATTGTACAATCATTACCACCATCTACCCTCAGAACTTTTTCAGCAGCTCAAACTGAAACTACTCAATAAACAAGAACTCCTTCCCCTGGTAACCACTCATCTCTTTCTGTCTATGAATTTGACTAACTTAGGTACCTCACATAAATTGAATTATACAGTATTCGGTTTTTTTGTGTCTGGTTTATTACACATGGCATAATGTCTTCAAGGTTCATCCAGGGATATACCACATGTCAGAATTTTCTTTTTAATGCTGAATATTAAATAATATTGTGTCTACATACCACATTTTGTTTATCTGTTCATTCATGTGTTGATGGACACTTGGGTTGCTTCTACCTTTTAGCCATTATAAATAATGCTGCTATGAATATGAATGTACAAATTTCTGTCACATTCCTGTTTTCAGTTCTTTTAGGTTTATACCCAGAAGTGGAGTTGCAGAATTATTTGATTATTCTATTTTTAGCTTTTTGGGGGAACTGCCATAGTTTCGGCTAGCTACAAATTTTTTGTTTTCCTGAAAGTATCTTTGTTTTGCCGTATCTTTGAAGGATACTTTCGCTGAAGAGTGCTGGCTTGATGGTTATTTTTTTCCAGTTCTATAAAGATGTATTTCCATTGTCTTTTGTTCTCTGTAGTTTCTAAGGAGAAGGTAGATATCTGTATATTCATATTTTTGTTTGACTTTATTGTTTTTCCTCTGACTGCTTTTGAGATTTTTTCTTTCAAAAATTTTTATTTAAGCCATCTGACTGTGATGTGCACAGGTATGTTTTCTTCGTATTCTTGCTGCATAAGATTTATATTGATATAAGTTTTTGTTTTTCACCACATTGGGGGCGTGTTCGGTCATTATTTCTTCAAAATTTTTTGCCCCATTGTCTACTCTTTCTGCGACTTGAGCTATACTTAACATGAGAACATTAGGCTTCTTCATCCTGACACACAGGTGGGTCTCTGAGATTCTGCTGTCAGTCTTTTTTCTCTCTCTTCTTCAGGTTGGATAATTTCTCTTGATTTTGAATTCATGTATTCTTTCTTCTGTTGTTTCCAACTTGCTTCTAAGCCTACCTGCTTATTTTTCAATTCAGTTGTTGTACTTTTTTAGGCCTAGAATCTTTATTTGTTTCTTAAGAAAAATTTCCAATTTTCTGAGACTCCTCTAAGTTTGTTTGAAAATAGTTTCTTTAGTCCTTGAGCTTATTTTTTATAGCTAGTCTAATGCCAGTTGCATGATTATGTCTTCTTGAGGTTGGTTTCTTTTTATTGTTTTTTTGAGTATAGGTCACATTTTCCTTTTTTTTTTTTTTTTTTTTTTTTTTTTTTTTTTTTTTTTTTTTTTTTTTTCTGAAGTATTTTTTTTTTGGTATGTGTATTCAGTAATTTTTAAATTTCATGCTTACATTATGAAGTGTAGAGATGAAATGTAGTCTATATTTTATTTATAATGTAAGCATAAATTTTAATTCATAAAATTTATAACATTTATGTTATGTTCCTCTGAAGAGTATTTTTTTGTTTCTAGTCAGTGGTTTGCTTGGCTAGATTAAAACTGCCTTCTCTTTTCAGTGATGGCAGCAGCTGAAATTTTTTCTTTCCAGCTCTTTCATTGTCATTGTACCCTGGAATCTCCTCTGCACATGCATACTTTAGCAGATAGCCAAGGTTTGGGACAATTTATGTATGAATTTTGGGACTTACCCACTGTTGGCTTCTTCACTTCCAGAATTTACACCTCAGTGTTAGAATTGCCCTGCCAACCTCAAACTTCGGTGTCACTTAAGTTCAGTAAAGTTGTATCTTTCTGATTCCGAGTTATACACAGATAAGCGCCCCCTGAGATCAGGAATTCTCAGTGTGTGATCTGAGGACCCCTTGTCTGTCTCTGGGAGCTTTGCAAAGGGTGATCAGGGCCCCTGCCCCAGTTAGATACGTGTGTACTTGAGGCCAAATTTTCTTCATATACTTCAACTAATAATAGATTGCTATGATTCTTTGCAGAAGCAGATATAAGAATGCAGTTAACTTTTTAAAAACTGTACATTAAACAGATTTGCAAAAAGGTAGAACAGGGCTACTCTTCTCATTAATATTTTTGTTTGTTCTAGAAAATGTCATTAGAAGTTATAAGTTAAGATATTAAAAGTCCATTATTATTTTTAATGACTTAATCATAATTTTTTCCTTTTCAGTTTTTTGTATTTCATGTCAGATGGTAATATACTGATGTCATGACAACGTTCAAGGGAGGCACATCTCGTGTGTGTGAAAACTTAAAATGTCATGCCTTTGAACTATGAAAGGATTGTTTTCTAAATTTCTAATATGGGATCTTCAGTAATTTTTTTTTTGTGTGTGTAGACAGGGTCTTGCTCTGTTGCCAGGCTGGAGTGCCGTGGTGCAATCTCAGTTCACTGCAGCCTCCGCCTCCTGGGTTCTAGTGATTCTCCTGCCTCAGCCTCCTGAGTAGCTGGGACTACAGGAACACACCACCATGCCCAGCTAATTGTTTTTGTATTTTTAGTACAGATGGGGTTTCATCATGTTGGCCAGGAAGGTCTTGATCTCTTGACATTGTGATCAGACCGCTTCAGTCTCCCAAAGTGCTGGGATTACAGGAGTGAGCCAGAGTGAGCCACCAGGCCCAGCCAATAATTTTTAAGAGTGTAAGGGGGTCCTGAGTCCAGAAAGTTTGAGAATTGCTCTTGGATGAAAAGGTATAAACAAGTGCTTGTTGTCAGATACACTTTCTTTTTTTCACAGGTAAACTCTTCCCAGTTTCTGCCTACATTTGGTGTCTCTCCAGAGCATTGAAAAATGGTGTTTCTGTCCAGGTTTTATAGGAAGGTTTATCTGACCAAGCTGCTTCACCATTGCTAGAACCCAAAGTTCTGGGAAATGGTTTTTAAAAGGGAAGGAAATGGCAATTATTCAGCACCAGCTATGGTATTGGTATCATGCACTATGGTTGAGACTGTGTCTGTTTACTTAATTCTTAAACGGATTTCAACAGTTAATTATAACCCCATTTTATGGATAAGAAATAAGGCTTTGAGTTCATGTAGTACTGTAATTTGCCCAGTGTCATTTTGCCAGTAGTTTTGGTAAAGGAGGATTAAACTTAGGTCTTGCCTTCAAAACCCATGTTGGTTCTATTTTACTCTGTCCTTTTGGTTTCAGAAATTAAGCATATGTAAAATTACTTAGAATGAGTATTAAAATAGATTTTTAAGGCAGATTTTGGAATTCCGTTTTCTGGGGCTTTATAAAATAGGTAAAACTTTTGGTAGTATGAGTATGATCCTTCTTGAAGGCAGGGCAAATAAAGAAATGACCTTTTCAATTCCTTTTAACCTTGTAATTTTATGATTCTATTTAGCTAGCAAAAATTTTAAGTACTTTTAATGAAATGTTAAGCTTAGGTATGTCATGATCCAGTAATAGAACTGTTTAGTCAGTGACTGACTCGTATCTCCCTGAAAAATTCATGGGAGAAGAATTAACTTTAGAGTATTAATAGAAGAATAATGACTACAATAGTGCTGAAATGAGTTCACATTTTTCATACCCACTCAGTAGATTGCAATAACATTTTAGCACTTAAAGTTCATATGGCAAATTTAAAATAAATTTGAATTATAAATTTTCTCCATTAGAAACTTCCCAAACTAAGTTATAACAGTAAGTCAAATTTGGGACTTATGTAAACTTTATATAAATAGTTTAGATTCCTTTATTTGCATTCTCTCAGAACATTTAGGTGTTTTATGGAGTATTAAAGTGGGGGAGTGTGTGTTTTATCAAAGCTGAAGTTTTTTGAAACTATGGAAGTTTGAGGATCAGTCATGGATGAGAATGCAGTGTTTCTGAAATGAAGTAAATAAAAATGAAAGCAACAGTGAGCTGCTCACAACTTTATTTGGAATAGAACATGTAAGATAGGGTTTGTAGTTTGTTTTTTTTCCCCTTCATTTCTACTTTTCCTTTAAATCATAACCGTAGTGTCTATAGCTTCTTTGGATATTCCCTATTCATTCAAATGGGAAGTTTTAGGAGTTTTTTGCTGTTATTCTTGTCAACATTTTTATTGTAATATAAAAATGGCAGGAGATATCTTTAAGAGGCAGAATAACATGCATAGGTGATGAAGAATATGCACTCTAAAGTCCTACAGCTTGTGTTGAAATCCTGGTTCTGCTGCTTATTTGCTTTGTGGCTTTGTGCTGTCTCAGTTACTGTTAGCCATTATTTATTGTTTTTGCCTTTCTTTAACAACTGTTGTTATTATTTTAGAGAAAGGGTCTTGTTGTTTACCCATGCTAGATGGCACAGTCTTGGCTCACTATAGCCTCAGCCTCCTAGAGTCAGGCTATCCTTTGACCTCAGCTTCCTGAGTAGCTGGGACTACAGGTACCTGTCGCCACGTCCAGCTAATTGGTTTAAAAACTTTTTTTTAATAGAAATAAGGTCTCACTATGTTGCCCAGGCTGGTCTTGAATTCCTGGGCTCAAGCAGTTTTCCTGCCTTGGCCTACCAAAGTGCTAGGATTACAGGTATGGTCCACTGAGCCTGGCCTCTCTTATAAGTATTTACTAGAGGCAGCAAATGATATTTGCTTAAGTAAAGTAGAATATAAACATAGAATAATTTAACACTCTATTGCAATAAAAATGATTCATTGTTTCTTAGAGTACCTAGCAGCTAAAAACATAGCACCTAGCGGGGGAAAAAATGATTTATGTAATATATTCTGACTGAAAAAGCTCAAGTTTAATTCTGAGATAGATAAGAATAAAATATCTCTGTAGACATTTTTAGTTCAATTATTTCCTAATTCTTTTATATATTCTTCTTCTTCTTTTTTTTTTTTTTTTTGAGACAGAGTCTCACTCTATTGCCACGCTGGAGTGCAGTGGTGTGATCTAAGCTCACTCCAAACTTTGCCTCCCGGGTTCAAGCGATTCTCTTGCTTCAGCCTCCTTAGTAGCTGGGATTACAGGCATGCACCACCATGCCCAGCTAATTTTTGGATTTTTAGTAGAGACCGGGTTTCATCATGTTGGCCAGGATGGTCTCTATCTCCTGACCTCGTGATCCACCTGCCTCAGCCTCCCAAAGTGCTGGGATTACAGGCATGAGCCACGATGCCCAGCCTCTTTTATATATTTTTAATGATTTGCTTGCATTTAGTTATTGCACAGTAACTAAATATGTGATAGATTGTTCTCTCAGTGTGATAAGTTAAATTTTCAATATGCGTTATGAATTTCACTTTAAACTTAAATTTTGTTTAGGGTGTATGCCATTAAAGCAAGTAGACTATAAAAATCTTTCTTAAAAAAAAAAAAGGCCAGGCACCGTGGTTCACGCCTGTAATCCCAGCACTTTGGGAGGCTGAGGCAAGCAGATCACCTCAGGTGAGGAGTTCAACACCAGCCCGGCTGACATGGTGAAACCCTGTCTCTACTAAAAATACAAAAATTAGTGGAGCATGGTGCTGGGCACCTGTGATCCTAGCTACTTGGGAGGCTGAGACAGGAGAATTGCTTGAACCTGGGAGGCAGAGGTTGGAGTGAGCTGAGATCACACCACTGCACTCCAGCCCGTGTGACAGAATGAGACTCCATCTCAAAAAGAAAAAAAAGTCCATACTTATTTTAGACACTGATTGATATAATTAAATTTATTTGTGATTCTAAACAACAAACATTAGTCTGCTATGAGAGCTTTTCATAAATTAATACTCATTTTCAATACATGATGCCCTAACTTAAATTTTACCACTTGGCTTGCTAGGGATCACATTTTATTATAACAGATGCAACAAAAAAAGATTTTTCACAAAAAATAAATTAACAAAGCCATAATCATTTATGGGGGATTTTGGCAATTACATCTCTATTGCTGTGACTCTTAACCTTTTTTATGGTCTGGCATACAGAGGGTGTAATTCAGCATCATTAGGAATAACAGCTAATTTGATAATTCATTTATTACATGACGCATTGCCTGGTGTGTGCTTAGTACATGTTTGTTGATTGACTCGCCAGAATACATGAGTAACTCCTTGAACTTGTCATGTTCCCTTTGTATAGGATACACAGTGTAAACAGACCACATTTACTTACCTGGGAATTTTGTTTAAATATGGTGATGGTAGCATTTTAAAAAGCATTGTACAGAAGATGGAAAGTCTTCTAGATGGTCTGGTACATTTTAAAGTAACTGTGTAGTTTAATTTTTCTGCATTTAGTTTTATAATTAACCATTTTCTTTAAAAGTGTTTTCTTTTTTTCTTTAGTAATTAATTTTTCCCTTTAGTTTATGATTTAGTAATTTATTTTTTCCTTCTAATGAATTTTATATAAATTGGCAAGTTTTATGAATGAGTCATTTTCTAAAACTTTGTGAAAATGGTTGTTGAGAATTTCAATTGCATTTTTCCATAGAATGGATGTATTTAAAATATGCTTACAGGGTAGCAAATAAAATATTAAATTTTTCTCCCTACTTCTGGGGGCCATGTCATAAAAGACTCTTCATCTTGTCAAGTACTTCTTTTTGTTCTTTTGTTTTATTCGTTTTTTTCCCCATTTATTTGTAGAGAGCCTACCGTGCAATAGGAATTGTCCCCCCTACTTCCTGCTTATTGAAACAACCTTCTCCCCCTGTCCTCCCTCACCTCCAGATTATTAAATCCTTTTTCTCTTTGCTCCACAGTCATTTTAATTCAGCTGTCATTCTTTCTGTGTCTCCCTCCAGGAAAGGAAGAAAAAACTTTTTATTTGAGGAATGGGAGCTTCTTTCAATTAGCCAGCACAGATAGTCATTTAAAATGTAACAGCAGTTGAACCTTTCCTGAGCTAAATAATTACTTTGAAGCCATTTGCCATGTGGGTTGTTGGTTAATTGATGCCAAATAGCCATAAAATGCCGTACGATGGGCATTATAACTCATGCCCTGTAGTTCAACAATGTATAGCCAATCACTAATCAATGTTATCTCTGTAAACCAATGAGAATTCCTGTCAGACAACTTGGTATCAGCCCACTCCTTGTTTCCTTTAAAAACATGTTTGAAACAGAGGTAGACAGACAGAGCACTCCCCAGGGCAATTTGGAAATGTGTCCCGGGCTGCAAGTCCTCAACTTTGGCCCAAATAATGTCACTCTGTTAATTTTGCCTCAGCTTCTTCTTTTAGGTCAACATGTGCAACTAATGACTTGGAGCTGTTCAGGCAGTTAGAGTTCAACCAGTTTAGAAGCTACATGGCTCATTGTGGATAGAAGGGCTTTACACGGTATA